TGCACAAAGGAATGTATTTACAAAGGTATCTTCACAATTAGATAAGTGTGTTGACATTAGTTTGCGAATCGCAGCTTTAATTGCTTAAAGTGGCTGCCATTTACTGATGGCAATTTCGCAAAAAGTGTACATTGTTGGCATCCGAGAAAGTATGCCCTGAAGCTATGAAGAAATTTAAAAATTTGAGTGACAGCAGAACAATAATTCAAAGAATAATTGAAAATTTATGTGATGATGTTAAGGAATAATTACAGATTGCTGCCACCAAATTTAAGTACTTCTCTCTAGCAGCTGATGAGTCAACAGACAGCGCAGCTGCTTTTGTTTGTTAGAGGAATTTCTGAAAATTTTCAAGTAACTGAAGAATTTGTTGGAATGAGTTCAATGAAGGGGTGAACAACTGGAGCTGATATTTTATCCTCCATTTTAAATTTGTGTTCAGCCCAAAATTTTGATTCTAACAAACTTGTTAGTATCACAACTGATGGAGCTCCAGCCATGACTGGAATTCAGAATGGCATAGTGAGTCTACTGAGAAACAACCATTTGGATGATCGAGGCAAAGATTTGCTTGGGTATCACTGTATCATACAACAAGAACAGCTGTGTGCGAAAGAACTAGGATTTTATGGTCTAATGAAGGTAGTGAGCGAAACAATCAATTTTAATGGTTTAAGCTACAGGCAATTTAAGGAAATCTTAAAACACAGAGATGCACCACACAGTGATCTCATATATTACGCTGAAGTATTATGGCTGAGCTATGTAGAGGCTGATTTGATTGATGAAATACTACCATTCCTTGAAGAAAAAAGCAAGCAAATTACGATGTTAAAGGAACCATCTTTCAAGTATGAATTAGCATTTTTAGTTGATGTGACAGCCCATTTGAATGACCTAAACAAAAAATTGATGGCGAAAATCCATTTCATCAGTCAACTGGAAAATGCAGTATCTGCTTTCAATCTAAAACTCCAGTTGTTCTCAAAGCAGCTTGGCTGTCAAAATTTTGTCAATTTTCCTTACCTGGAGCAACTCAGTGAAAATTTCCTTAATAAACAACTGGATTATTCAGATCAAATACAGATATGACCTGCATAAGGTTAAATTTAAACTGTTTGGGGATCAATTTTTTGTTGTAGTTGAAGAAGCTCCAAAAGATGTTCAAATGGAACTTACTGATTTACAAACTTCTGACTTATGCAAATCCAGATTCCGTGATTTAGACATTCTTGACTGCCGAATTTTTGCTCTTAAAAATAATGCAAGCAAATGTGCTACCATGTTTGGTAGCACTTATATATGTGAACAAACATTTTCTCTTATGATTCCAAATAGGTCAAAATTAAGAAATAAACTGACAGACTTGCAATCTGTCTTAAGAATATCAACAACTAGCTTTCAACCAAATATATCAAAAATTGTTTATAAAATTTACTCTCAACCATCACACTAATGTATTTAACTATGGTTAACTTGTACACATTTTTATTAAAATATTTATATATTAAATTATCATGCCAAACATAACTGTAATTTTTTCTGAACTGTGGGTTGCCCAGTACACGGCAAGGAAAGGAACCTGCTCCTCTTCCTACATATATAGCAATGTCCCAATTATTAATTTGATATTGTAATGTGAATTGAAATTAAAAAGCTGCATTGACCCTCCCCCACATACACCAGAATTTTTTTTTTCCCTATATGCTAATAGCCCTCGGCAATTAAGTTGTTTTTGTAAGTGCCCCTTCTGCTAAAAACGTTGTGAGCCCCTACACTTTAAAAAAAAAAAAAAAAAAAAAAAAAAAAAACCTCATGCTACAGATATTACTTTTCAATTAGGTCTCATTATAGGAAGAAAATGGCATTTTATTAAATTAAGCTTAGAGGTATACTTACATCCATTACCCAAGTGAAATTGAAACTAGGATGCATCCAACCAATTATCTTCAGAAGAATATAGATTGTTTTAACATCACCATGAAATCTATCTTGAAGATCAATGTACTGTGCCTAAAAAATGTCAACCTTTAGAAAAATAGCACATTTAAAATGTTTTAAGAAATTATGTAAAATTAAAACAATTTGGGAATAGTTTTCCATTAATGTTCACAAAATCTAAAAACAGTTATCAAGATTTCTCAAATATATAAAAATTTATATTGTTGTGACTTATTTTACTTGCCTGACAATCAGATCACTAATTTATGTGAAATATCTGTAGATAAGTAAATGCATCAAAAAATCAACAACAGACACTGGTTAATAGTTTCACTTCATACAGTTATATATTTTACAAAACAAATGCTTAATGCTTTTTAATTTACAATCAGGTATTAGATTTTTCCATAAAACATAAAACATTTCAAGCCTCTTTTTTAGTTCTAAAATCTGCAGAAATGTTAGCATACCTTAAAATACCAGGAAGTAAGCAGATAAAAAATAGAGTTGTCCCTCTTACTTTAAAAATTTGAAGAAAAAGGTACAAAAGCTACTTCAGAATTATAAAGCATAAAAATTATGGAAATTTTGAAAACATTAAATGTTATCACAATAACAAGAGATTATTGAAGTAAATGACAATAAAAAAATCAAATTAAAATTGAGACTACTTACCAAAATAGCAATGAACTTTTTGGGGATTCATTTTCTGTTGTAGTCGAAGAAGCTCTAAAAAATGTTCGAATGGAACTTACTGATTTACAAACTTCTGACTTATGCAAATCAGAAGTGAGTGAGGGTTATAATGGGTACTTTTTAAACTAAGCACAATAGCACTTCCATTAAAGAAGCCGCTATTAACCAAGGTCTTTATTAACCAAGACAGCAATCAATTTTAAGAAATCATCACGAAAATGCTATAACATTATGATGAAAATCAGTAATACTCATAAATTCTCTTATTAGTGATTAATCCCTTGATCTTTCTTATCAATGATGGGTCATTTAATGGCCTTCATACTGTGCATTACAATAAAAGATGTGGTTTATATGCGTTAGAAACAAAAAACACTAATAGACAGATACTAACAGACAATGAATTTGTAAATATGTTACAAAGAGTAAAAAAAGTATGAAGATTTCCCTCAAGATGTTCTAGAATGGATAAATATGAATAAGCAAACAAAGTTCTCTTTGATACAAACATTATTTACACCATAGATCCATACAAAAATAAAAATTGCAGTGATTAGAGAGGTGTTCAGGAAGATGGTGAAACAAAAGCAGGCAATGTGAAAATTAGCCATTCTGAAGGTTTCAATCTTTCTCAAGTTCTTTAATTTTTAGTGCAATGCCCTAGCACTTTTCCTATGCGTATTTTTTTCAGCTTTCTTTGCTGACAGAAATGTGATGTAATTATGCACCAGCTGAAATTATTATAGGACTACAACAAAAAGAAGGACATATTAAAAGGAGAAGAAAAAAAAAATTAATGTTTTATAAATAAGCATGTAAGAAATTTTACAAGTTGCATAAATATTGATGGAGTTTTCTTTTTGGGGTTCCCCCCCATAAATATTTTTGTCACAAAATAAAATCTTATATGAATTATTTGTTTAATTAATAGACAGAAATTTCATTTACTAATAAAAAAAGGTTTGGTAAAATGTTAATCGTAGTACCATGCACTTAATTTTAAAATTTAAACCAAACTATTTCAGAAAAACCTGTTGACAGAAAATTAGCATAATTTTAAATTTAGTCTCTATTAGCCAAGCTTTTGATTATCTGAGGCTTTACAGTCTCAATCATCTCTGATAATCAAGGTCCTACTGAAGCTTTTAAAGGATGCCAGAAAACTATTATCCAGTTATAGATGTATTTCTTGTGGAATGAAAGGGGCTCTATTTGCATTAGATTCCCCAGTGGTGACAACCAAAGAAGCTAAATCATATATACATAAATTCTTCTACTGATAATTCTTAAAATCAATGCTGCCCAATAAGTATATAAATTTTAAAAATCAAATATTTCTCCAAAATTAACTTCAAGGGACTGAATTCCATGCAGCAAAATGTTCCATAACAAATATAAAATGAGTGGCTGTAACATTTTTCTATTTAAAGAATTTTGCTATAAAGAAACAGTTTAGGTTTTGGAAGGGGGTATACATATTTTTGTACCAGAAGAATTTTTGTGTAGTAGTCATATTGTACCATTAGGGATTAAATAATGTTAAGCTATTAACATTGATTTTATCAAAACCAGCATTTATAAAATATAACTATTTTGTGATACAGCATAAAGCGATCTTTACACAAAAAAAAATGTTGAATTCTTTGGTATTTTCTGATTTGCCATCAGTAGTAATTCATAATTATTACTATGCCCAAAAGAAAAGGATTCATCCAGATCTACTATTGATTCTTCTGCAACAACTGGTGAATTACAAACAAATGGTACATATCTGATGACTAACAATGCTACTAGACTTGTTTTAGATCAAAAAACAGTTACATAAATTGTAATATTTGCAGTCATTACATCAATCTTTACTTATTACATAGGTGATCGAGCAATTATTGCATATAGAATAATGAATTAATTATGAAATATAGGTTCTCACCAATTAGTTCTTAATTATGTTCTTTTAATGCATTGTCTAACTGAAATCCAAATGTATGGTGCATTAGAAATTTTCCTTTCCATAGAACATTATAACAAGTTGTCAGGTGCTTTTGAATATTAGTGCTACATGTATATACCAGTAAGGATGAAAGGGTTATATTTTTTGACATCTTCTACCATATGTTGATAACTAAAGGGAAAGAAGTATAGGACACTTTTGCATGAAAAACATTTTATCAGTAAATACTTATTTTAATCTTCTTTTATACAGATTTTTCCCATTATCCAAAAATGTAAAATTCTTATGAAACCCTTCATAGAAAAAATCTGATGTGGGCACCACACGACTTCCTTGTATGGTCTATTAAATTATATACATTTTTTGCTTCACTTTATTTAAACTTTATACAACACATGCATATACATGTTGCACTACTGACTGCAATAAAAAAGAGAGGTACAAAACTATACGTTATAGCAGGCCTATATAAAAAATTTCAATGTTCTACAACTAATTGCTTTCGAGTTATGCAAAGTACAGAAGTCACCAAAAAATCCCTTTTGAATCCATTTTCAATCCCAGTCAGGAAAAAAAAAAAAAAAAAGAGGCCTCTATTCTGTCCGCATGCCCAGACATCAGGCAAGGAAACTGACCAAAGGATGGCCAAAATGAATTTCTATTGAAATACAATATCCGAAAATTTTCACAATTACAATACTTTCCCATTATCCAAAAACATTTTATCAGTAAATACTTATTTTAATCTTCTTTTATGCAGATTTTTCCATTATCCAAAAACATTTTATCAGTAAATATCTTCATACAAGAAAATGAAAAGAGTCCTTTATTCTGTCCATACGTACCGATGTTCACAAAATGTATATATATATGACAAAAATATACAAATACATTATATATACCATACAAAAGTAACACACACATATATATAACAAATATATGTATATAATAAAAAAAATAACATAATATATTTTATGTAACATACCTTCACAGCAACTTTTTCACCTTTTTCAGTAGTTGCTTTATATACCTGAGCTAAACTTGCAGCTGCTATGGGTTTCCTTTCAAATTTAGTAAACATTTCTTCTGGTAGCCTACCAAAAATTTCAAAACGAGTCTTCTAGTGGCAGAAATAAAAATAATGGCAGGAAAAAAATGTCTTTGATTCTAGACTCTGAAATGATGTTTTATTTTAATATATACAAAAAAAAAAAAAAAAAAAAAAACTAAATAAAAGGATTGCTTAGAACAAAAATGAATTCAAAAATATGTCCATTCATGAACTCTTCTCTTCTTTTCCTTTTTCAAATATTGTCATCTAATAATTACCAACTGTGACACCCTTATAAAATTTAACATAAGAAAATCTTTATTTGAAAAACAAGTATGAGTTTATAAACACTGTTCTTGCTTCTTGTCCAGAATTCAACATGGTTCGCATTTTTTAATATTTCAGCAATTACCAATAGCCATTGCAAATACCATAATACAAGTTTTTCTATTTTCAATTACATATATTTTCTAGTACATTGTATTTCTGTTTGTCAATGTTTTACACAAATGTTTCCCTAACTGTTTAACATCAGAACATATAGCTATGCAGGGACTTTTAAAGATAATGCACGAGGAAGTCCTGGAAGAAATATTATGAATGCAATACTAACAAAAAGGCCTGTAATTGCTAAAAGTTAATAAACAATTATAAAAATTACCTAACTATATTTAAAAAAGGTTCAAAGTTTCTAGCAACTTGTCTAAGGACCAACATTTTCAGAAACCCTGCTTCATACAGAATTAAAAAGAGAAATAGCTATTTTTTTAGATACACACAGAGGAATTAATATACAGCAGTTATAACTGAGTTTTCTCAAAACCAAAGTCTTGTTCTTCAAACCTTTGAATATATTTTTTGTTAAAAAAAATGATTCGACAGACTAATGATGTAAGAACTGCACTAATTATACATACATACATAACATTTTATACATCTGAATACATAATGAAAATTTAATAAGTTAATGAAATGTTAAAAGTTAAAAAAGAAAAATACAGTTAATAACTTTTCCTTTCTGATGTCAATGAAATTTTATAAAAATTTACTAAAAATATTTAGAGAATTCTTATTCGACTTCAAGCCAACAATTCTTTACCCCACAACATTTACACAGGATTTTTTTAAACTTTCATTAATGCTTACTATACTAATGACCAGAGCAACACTTAATTACATACAATTTACATAACAGCCTGGAGCCAAAAAGCAAGTAGTTAAAGGAACCTAGATATATATTCAACAAGAATCCTTCAAAGAGATTGCGTATTTGTGGTACAAAGGTAGGAAATACCTAAACAACTCAAATTGCTGTCTTAATAAAACAAAATAGGATACTAGATGAAACTAGCAGCAAGCTGATGTATAAAGATATTACTACATTTAAAAGAAATACTAAAATAAATGATTGAAAACAATAGTACCTCATGTAACAATGGAATTCATTCCATAATAATATTTCTTATGTGAATAATTATGTAGAATACTGTCCTGCATTTACGAGTTATCACAACCACCTTCGAAGAAGTCACCAAATTTTCAGAATGAAACAAACTGCAGTAAGATATCTTCAGGAATACAAAATTTTACTTAAAAATCTCTAAAGGGAAAAATGAGCAGATACATTTGGGTAGGTAGGCGGTGTTGCTAAAGTTCGCAGGATAATGACTCTGCAATTCTCCGATTTTTTTTTAAGCAAAAACAGATTGCCATGTGCTTGGGGAAAAGAACAGTGCAAAAAATTTATAGAAAAATTTGGAGATGAATGTAAATGTTTTATTTTTTTAATATATCATATAATCCTTATTTAACAATTGATAAAATTTTTCGCTTACAACTAAAAATTGCAACTTTTGCCTTCCAACTTAAAATTTGCATTTTAAATTGCTAAAATACGTTCACATTTGATAATGTTTGTTAACTTATGATAAATATCAATAGTTTGGAAATCTTTTAAATCAAATTCACAAAAACTACCAATTTGTACCTGATAAGTATCTTTAATTAGTATCACTAAGTATCTGATCTTCATCTTATCTTTAATTTCTGTACATTTTAATTTTCATAAAATGGCATCACAAAAGGATTATTTGAAAGATAACAGGTCACTTGATATTCCTTCCAATCCTGTTTTCTCTTTAGTAAAATTGTTTAAAGAAGTTCATTCTTTATAGTGCATTAATAATACTCTAGATTTTATGCAACAAATTTCACTGATGACTACCGGACACATTACTCAAGAATTGAAAATGAAAAACGAAAGCAAGAGTTAAGTAAATTAAAGAAGTGTTAAATATTTTGATATAATGAAATGAAGATATGGAAAATTAAGTAAAATATGTGAAAATTTTCAAAGTTATACTAGTATTTCAAAGTTAGATGATAAAACTTCTTCTGATGTTGCTTAAAAAACGATATTTAACTCACTATATCAGACAATTTTAATCACAGACAGATGTTCCTAATATGTGTGACACATTTCAAATCACATCTAATGACTGTGCGTTAATCTTTTTATTCTGATTAATTTCCTGCAATTTTTATAAGTTTGTTTAAAAAAAAAAAAAGGTCCTTAAAAAAAAAAGGGAACGAGATATGATGTGTTATAGCTGCTTTGCTTGTGTTATAAAGTAAAAATACTCTCCGAATGTGGCTTTCTTAATTAAAAAGAAAAAAATGGCAAACAAAGACGGAAACGAAAATGACACTTCAACATTGATTGCTAGAGTTAGAGTGTTTTGAAAAACGAACCCAAAGATATGGTTCCTCCAATTGGAAGCTCAATTTTGAAACGTTGCAGTTATGACAGATAAAACGATTATGGAAATATGAATACAGCCAAAAGTCTTTAATCCGGACGTCCATAATCCGGAATGATCTATAATCCGGACCACAAAGCTACAAACTTTCTGACCATGCATAGCATTTACGCATGGGCAGAATACGTTTATGCATGCGCATTTAATGTATAACGGACGGTATAAGCTAAGCTAAAATTATCTAATTATCTATTTCAGTTAATGTTGCAGATTACGCTGTTCCTTAATCTTCTAATTGGAACCGGCTTATTATTTTTTGCAGATTATTAGAGCAATTTTATAAAAGTAAGCTTGAACTTTCGATTATATCAAAAAGAATTTCCGATTCTGGAGCTGCCAAAGGATCTACAAAGCGAAAGCATGTTCCGATGTCCATCAAACAAAAAGTGGATGGTGTTGGTGTGTTAGTGTATTTAATTATGGCAAAGCACACTAGGGCTATCTGCCTAAGAGAAGGAATGCCTTCGTGGAGGACTTTCTAAGGGAAACTGGCTCGTATACACGTTACATATGGGGAAACCATGAAAACACTCATGCAGCCAGCCCGTTCGCGAGATTTGAACCTCGGACTGAACTACCAGTATTCAGCGACTTTAACGCTCGGCCACTGGTGGGCAAAACAAAAAGTGGAATTGCTGCAAAAAATGGATAAAGGCATATCTTTTATTTCTCTAACCATTTCGAAATCTGTTTATCAATTTCGTGCTGCTCTGCAGGGGGGGGACGTCGCAGGCGCGCAATGAACTTGGAAGTTGATCTGTCAGCACTATCCTTATCTTCAGTTCAGATGTTTTTATTTAATTTGGCTTATAATTTCTTACTAAATGTAGCATTTCATCATGATGTACTCCATCTTTGATATAATTTAAATCAAATTCCTCGTCATTATAAATATCACGAATACACATCAACTAGTTTTCTGGTTGCAATTTTCTAATTTCAACTATGCGTAATGTATGCTTTACGCATGCGCGTTGAAAAAATGTTTAATAAAGTAAACAAATAAATATTAAGCTTTTTTTTTTGCAAATTTTGATACCCTTTACATCATAATTGCTCTTTATTTTTATCCTTTAGATCATAATTGCTCATAAATTATGGCTTCATATTTTTAATTTTATAATTTCTGCAAGCCATCTTACCAGATTTAAACTGATGACCTATAATCCGGAACTGCCGAAGTCCCGACGAGTCCAGATTAAAGACTTTTGACTGTATGTGATGAGTTTCATTGATGCTGAAATATTATACTCTATTCGGACACTCTGATTAACTCTCAAGGGACGACAAGTACACGGCTTTTAAAGACATACGAATTTCCATCTTTGCCAAAACCAAAATGCAAAAGACCTAAAAATTATTAACAGAGTTGGACTTTGATGATAGAAAACCTGGTACTTATGTACTATGATGACTACCTTGGCAACATTTGCTGATAACTTCATATCATGGCCGTTTTTACAAACGTGTTCTTTGGGTAAAATTTCAGCTTCTCTGAAAAATTCTATCACTTCTTCATTTAAAGGAAGTTGGAAAATGTTGATATCCATAGGGAAAAAAATAATCACAAAAAGTTTCACGTGTTTAACCTAAACGTAATAATCCACGTAAATATAGCAAAAAAAGGTGGTGGCAATAGCAAGTGTGAGATAATAATCTTATTTTAATGCCCTCTATAACCTATGTTAGGGTTAACCTGTATAGCCTACAAGGGTCGCCAGTTTTGGCAAGATATCTAAGTAGTCGTCATAGTACGCAAGTACCAAAAAACCTTCACAGTTGTTATGGGAAGTAAAGAATTTAGCTACAGATAAGGTAGGTAAAGCTTTCCTTAAAACTCTCTGGCTTCAAAGATTAACGACAATTCTCGAGCATTTTATCCATCAGCAGAGATATTTAGCCAAATTGGTGACAATGGCAGATAAATTTGTGGGAAATTAAATCATATAATGGAGTAGAAGTATAATGGAGGCGTAATACAAGACGATTTATTCTCAATTATGCTGAGATTCAGGAAATATATTTTTGCTTTCACTGCAGATATACAAAAGATGTATCGAGCTATTTCTATCCATCCAAATCAGTGGAAGTTGCAAAGGATTTTATGCCAAGAAGGCATTGATAAGCCAGTTAAAAATTTTGAGCTAACCACAGTTACCTATGGAACTGTGAGTGCACCATTTTTAGCAATGAGAACACTTGTACAGCTGTCAAAGGACAAAGAAGATAAATTTCCTCTAGCAGCACCTG